CGCTGCTCGTGCAGCTGCCGCTGCCACTGCTGCCCTTCCAGCCGCCACTGCCGCCACTGCCGCTGCTGCCCTTTCAGCTGCCGCTCCCACTGCTGCTGACGCTGCCACTCCTTTCGCCACTGCTGTTGCCAACCGTCAGCTTAAACCTCCACCATCCTGGCCATCAGCAGCCAGCACCAGTCACCAGCTGCCAGCAGCCGACCGCCGGCAACCTGCCGCCGACCCCCAGCAGTCACCCGCCAGCTGCCACCACTCGTGGCCAGCCTCCGACCATCGGCTGCCAGCCACCAGTCGCCAGTCGGTTGCCAGTCGCCAGTTGGCCACCAGTCGTCAGTCGGCCGCTAGCCTCGTGAGTCCCTTGTGCCCTGTGGACTGTCAATCACTATGTGTCGCCAGGCCTAGTGACTCCTAGCTAGCCCCTCGGTGTGCTGCTCCTAGTAGCTCCTCTCGCGCGTACTTCCTCCTCGTTTTCTCCCTACTCATCCTGGAAGCTACAGCCCGCCGCCACTGCCGTCTTACTGTCACTCGCTAGCCACTACTACTACTAGCCTCCTGCTCGCTGCCACTGCTCCGGCCACAGTCGCCACTGCTACTACCTCAGTTAGTGCTCCTGTAGCACCTAGTGCCTCCCACTAGTCTCCTCCTCGTTTCTATAGTTCTTCGCCGCCTCTCCTCTCAGCATGATGGCCTCATTAGGGTCTGTCCCTCGGCCAGACCGTCGGGCACTTCCTGACGCTCTTCGGTTTCCTGCTCACCGGCTATAGCTGGTGAGCCAGCACCTAGACTGCACTCTCCTAGAGGATCACATTAGTTACCTCCTTAGCTTCTGGCTCCATGACCTCGATGTCTGCTTCCGGGCTCTTTGGCCAGTGCCGCAGCCGCAGTAGTAGCAACAGCAACAGCAGCCACAGTGGGGTCTTGAGGGTATTAGGTGCGGTGGAGGCTCTGGAGGTGCAGCCCTAGGGCAGTCACTGCCCTGGGGTCACTGTGGTTTCTCTAGAGGACCGAGGGCCTTGGGGCATAGGGGGCTAGGTCCCACAGCTGTGTCTCGTATAGGAGCCACTACTACGTTTCCCCTGGGCTCCTCCCCTGCCCCTCCTGTGGTGGCCCTCTCCTTTATCCTTGACTCCGGCGCGTCTCGTTACTTCTATAGGGACAGCAGTGCTCTCACCCTGATTCCTGCGCCTGTCCGCATCACACTAGCGGACTCCTCCGCCATAGTTGTCGCACGTAGCACCACCACTCTCTCCTGTCTAGCTGTCCCCTCCGGCTCCCTCACTAGTCTACACATCCCCTCGTTTTCTAGGAACCTAGTGGGTGTCGGTCAACTTTAGGACCGAGGGATCACCACTACGTTTTGTGGCCGTGAGAGACACGTCGCTTGCACAGACACAGCCACCGGTCGGCATTTAAACACTTTTGAGCGTGACCCAGGGTCAGGTCTCTACACTGCACACTGCTGCGTCTGCCGCGGTTGCCGAGTCCTGCTCCTGTCACTCGATAGCCCACCCGACCCTTCTTTAGCACCACCGCTTAGGTCACCCTGCACTCCCGCGTCTTAGGCACATGTCCCAGCACTATCTAGTCATTGGTCTCCCTGCATCGCTCCCCGGCATACCTATGTCGGTAGCGCCACTGTGCACGTCCTGCGTCGAGGGCCGATATCGCACCGACCCTCACTCCTCCTCGTTTCCTCCTACCACGGCACCGGTACAAACAATGCGCATGGACGTCTGGGGCCCTGCCCCAGTCCATGGTCTTAGTCGGGAGCGCTACTTTCTAGTCGTCGTTGATGACTTCTCGCGCGTCACCACAGTGTTCCCATTGGAGCGGAAGGCCGACGTGCCTACCGTTCTCCTCCCTAGGTTTCTCACTGTTCGCACCCACCACCGCCTGCCAATAGGTCTCTTACACTCTGACCGAGGTGGCGAGTTCGCCTCTGGCACTCTAGGACGAATGTGTTGTGCGGAGGGCATCCGCCAGACATACACACTGCCAAAATCCCCACAGCAGAAGGGGGTCACTCAACGACACATCGGCCTGATCATGGAGGTGGCTCGCACCTCCATGGTCCACGCCAGTGCACCCCATTTTCTGTGGCCGTTCGGTGTGCGCTAAGCTGCTCACCAACTTCACCTGTGGCCACGCTCCCAGCGGCCACAGGTTTCGCCAACCCTCCTCTGGACCCGGTCTCCTGGAGACATGTCTGCATTCCACGTCTAGGGCAACCTTGCTCACGTTTGCAACACTGGCGCGGACAAGCTCGCAGCCCGCACCCTTCCTTGTGTCTTCCTGGGATTTCCACTTGACGGCTCTGACTGTCTCTTATACCACCCATCACACGACCGCTTTTACCATTCTCGTGGTGTTACCTTCAACGAGACACTCCCCTACTTCTGGCGCTTCCCGCACCGCAGTGCTCCTGTGCCTCCTCCTCCTCTCTTCCTTGTCCCTTCCCTGCCTACCACACCCCTCCCGCCCCCCCCGACCCAGTCTGGTGTCTCCCACGCCACTCAGTTCCCCTCGGTTGCACCTGTGGGGGAGTCGGCTGACTCTTGGGGTCGAGCTGCTGGGGGCGTGCCTGCTGTCCCTGCGGTGCCTCCCCCAACCTTGGTACCCCAGTCCCCTTAGCCACCTCCCCCCTTGCCTCAGCAGCAGCAGCAGCAGCCACAACAGACTCAGTGGTCACAGCAGCAGCAGCAACAGCAGGGATTAGTGGGCTTTGGGGGTGCTGGTTCGGGGGGTGCTGGTGTTGGACGTGTTGGTGTTGGGGGTGTTGGTTCTGAGGGTGCGGGTTCTGGGGGTGCTGACTCTGTGGGTGCTGGTTCTGGGGGTGCAAGTTCTGGGGGTGCTGACTCTGAGGGTGTTGGTTCTGTGGATGGTGCGTTCGATGGTGCTAGTCTTGGGGGTGCTGTTTCGAGGAGTGCCGGTGGCAGCAGCGGTGCCGTTGGAGGTCCTGGAGAGGACAGGGATCAGTTGCAGCAGCAGGCGCAGCCGCAGAAGCAGGCACAGCTGCTGCAGCAGGAGAAGCCGCAGTCTGCCCTTTCGTCTCCTTGATCTTGCTCCAGGTTCCACTGTCCGCCCGCCCATTCCCCTTTCAGTGCGTGACCCTGTTTACGGCCCGTTGTTCCCTCCTTCGGACTCCTCTCCGCCTCGTTTTCCCCGGCGCTCTCCTCCGTCCCCTGACTTGTTCCCCGTTCCCCCTCGTCTCCATTCCCCATTTCTTCCCCATTGGGTCCGTCTCCCCTCTGGTGCTCGTCCTGTCTCTCCCCCTCCTAGTGTCCAACCTATGGTCCTTCATTCGCATGCTCCTCTAGTCACCGCCCTCCCATTGCTTCCCCCGTCATGACTCCCGCCGTCTCCCCCTCCTCGCTTCGACGCTGCTCGCACTGCTCGTGCAGTCCTCTCGCGCCTGCTTGCGTCGCTTGTCACTGACCCTACTGCACCTCCTAAGTCTGTCTCTGCGCTTGTCGCTGCTGTCACAAACTTTTCTGTTAGCCATCGCCTTGAATATGCTGCCGCTTTGGTCTTTGGTACTGCTCGTCCTCCATCCGTCGGGGGTGCATCTGCCCTTGGCAGTGACGTGCTAGAGGACATGCAGTACGAGTTTGCCTACCTTGCTGCCAATGTTCTCCATCTCTGCACCATGCTTGTATCCCTAGAGGACGACCCAGGCACTCTTGACATCCCTATTCCGTGCTCTTACGCTGATGCGGTGCCGGGGCCCTGGGCAGCCTGGTAAAGCACGTTCATAACCAAGATCTGAGCACGTTTATGAACGTGAGAGAGGCACCCCTAGACGTGGAACTCGGATGCGTCATGAGGGAACTTGGTCCAAAGAAGGGTCGGCAAAATCTGCGGCCGCTGAGAGTGCGGCCACAGGTTAAGATGGTGAGCAACGTAGCGAACAGCGAACGGCCAAAGACAATGGGGTGCACCGGCATGGATCATGGAGGTACGAGCCACCTCCATGACAAAGCCGATGCGTCGCTTAGTGACCCCATTCTGCTGCAGCGAGTCCAATAGGGTGTACGACTGGGTGATGTCCTCCGCACGACAGAATTGTCCAAGCCGACCAGGGGCGAACTCGCCGCCATGGTCGGAGTGGAGACACAGCAGAGGGAGACCGCAGTGGAGACGCTCAGCTACGACCCACAGAATAAGAACCTCAGGCATGTCGGCCTTCCGCTCCAGGGGAAACACCGTGGTGTAACGCGTGTAGTCGTCGATGAGCACGAGAAAGTAGCGCTCGCGACGCGGCCCAAGGACGGGGGCTGGGCCCCAGACGTCCAGGTGCAGGGTTAGGAGTGGCGCAGTGATAGGGCGAAGCGAGGAGGAATGAGGGGCATGGCGCAGCCGGCCCTCGGCACAGGGAGTGCACGGTGGCGTAGGCGATAGGGGGAGGGCAGGTATCGACGCAGGAAGACCTTGGACGAGACGGTGCTGAGACATGTGACGCAGACGTGGGAGTGCGGGGTGACCTAGGCGGTGGTGCCACAGAAGCAATGGGTGAGTGAGCGACCGACACGAGCAAGCTGCAGTGACCTGGGTAGATGCAGGACCCGAGGAGGACGTGCCCACCAAGGGGGAAGAAGTGTCCAGTGTAAACAGGCCATATACCGGGTCCCGGGGGAACGTGTAAGGGGAGCACCTGAGTGGGTGGTCAGAAGAAAACCTGAGTGGGTGGCACCTGAAGACAGCTGACACCAACTAGGGGCATCGAGAACGAAGGGATGTGCAGGCCAGTAAGAGAACCCGAGGGAACCGCTGGACAGGGAAGGGTAGTGTAGCTACGGGCAACCATAGGACCAGAGGAGGGGTCAGCAAGTGCGACAGCGGCAGGCGCTGCAAGCGGCGTGAGTGTGGCATGGTCGCAGAAGAAGCAGGCAGAGGCACCAGAGTCAAGCATAAAGGACAGCGAAGCAGAAGCTGCGGCCGGAGAAGGAGCAAACGTGGAGCCTAGGCTAGACAAGGCAGAAGGTCCTACACCTGATGCAGCAGAGAAGACTATACTTTACACAGTTACTACACCTAAACTAGATAAAACAGCGCAATAAGATCAGCTTACGGAGAATGCAGGGAAGAACAAATCTGATCCATGTCTAACTCAAAGACAGGCACACCGTGGCGCAACAGAGTGGGCTAGTCAGGGAGGTTCGGGGCCAGGCCGAAGCGGCGACGAAAGAGGTCGTTGAGGCGGCAGAAGTAGCGGGTGGTCAGGTGCGGGCGACGACACATAGTGCCGCGGAGGGGGCCGGTTTGGAGCTAGTACTGGCAGCTCACAGCACCAAAGCTGCTGGCCGACGCCGAGCAGCGAGGGCCGCCACCGCGTTCACCACCGCCAGAGGCTATTGGCCACCCCGGCGGGAGGCGTGCCCACGACTGCTGCTGCTGCTCCTGCTGCTGTTCTGGCTGCTGCTGCAGCTGCTGCTGCTGGGACGGCTGCTGCTGCGGCGGCTGCGGCTGCTGCTACTCCTGGGCACCAGCCTCGATCCCCTCGTCAGACCCACTGTCCCCACCACCACCACCACCACCACCACCACCACCACCACCTCCACCACCACCACCACCACCACCACCACCACCACCACCACCACCACCACCACCACCACCACCACCACCACCACCACCACCACCACTGACACCACGCCCCCCCTTGGGGCCACGACAGCCCTGGCGCGAGCGCAGCTGCGGGGACGCCGCGGATGTGGTCTCATTGGGAGGGGCAGTTGTAGCGACCGCGGCTGAAACGTCCGCGTACGTGCACTGGGAGGGCGCACAGCCCTGAAAATTAGGGACTGCCGCAACACCTCTCGACTGAGCGATAGTGCGCTGGCAAGTCTCTATCTCAGACAGGGCAGTGACAAAGGAGGTAAGGGTGAGGTCACGTGGGTGCTGACTACGAAAGTGGTCGCGGGCAGTAGCTAAGCGGTCCGGAAGGCGCATGGCAATGAGATACAGCGTAGTGCAGAATGGCGGGGGGAAGGCAGTGAGCTGGGCGTCAGTGCTAGCGGCGCGGTAGCTAGCCTCTAGTGCAAGGAGGTGAGTGGCTAGGTCAGCGACAGTGGGGAAAGCGTCAAGATCAGGGAACATCATAGGGAGGATCAGGCGGCCAGCAGAGGCAGAGGCGGGCGTGGAGTAGTGCGCAACGACTGCATATACGAAATCCTTGGCATTCACGATAGCAGTGAAGCGCGGACGCTCAGAGAGGGGAAGAGCATGACAAATGGCTAGCTGTGCTACGCCATCGCGAAAATCCCAGACAGCGCGAGCAAGCGCAGCAGCAGAAACGGCCCCACGCTGAGCAGCGGTGGGTCAGCATGGAGGGGATCAGGCGCGGGGGGGCAGGGAAGCAAGCCATCAACATGCACAGCCAAGGAGTGCCCATCCTGGCGCTGACCTGTGAGGTGACAGCGTAGAGCGATACGCTAGGCGGCAAAGTCGATCGCGTGCCCCTCCGCGTCCAGGCGGAGTACAGAGTCCACCATCGTGCGACCTCAGCGACACAGCTCTACGGCGGCACGGCGGCACAGCGACACAGCGGCACAGCGACACAGTGGCACAGCTACACAGCGGCACAGTGGTGCGGCGGCAGAACTCCTCGGTAGGTTGACTGAGCGGAAGGCCGAGCGGGGCTCACAGGGCCAGTGGCGCGTAGAAGAACCGGCTGGGGCTCACGGGGCCAGCAGAGCGCGACGGGCCGGCAGAGCGCGAAGAAGGCCGGCGAGGCGCGATGGGCCGGCGGGGCTCGAAAGGGGCGGCGGGGCGCTAAGGGCCAGCGGGGCGCTAGGGCCGGCGGGGCGCTCGGGCCGGGCGGGGCGCGGAAAGGACCAGCAGGGCGCGAGGGCCGGGCGAGGCGCGAGGGGCCGGCGGGACGCATAAGGGACCAGCGGGCGTTGAGGGGCCGGCGAGGCACTAAGGGACCAGCGGGCGCATGAGGGGTTGGCGGGGCGCTAAGGGCTGGCGGGGCGCTAAGGCCAGGTGGGGCACAGGAGGGACCAGCGGGGCGCGAGGGCCGGGCGGGGCGCGAGGGGCCGGCGGGGTGTTAGGGGCCGGTAGGGCGCTAAGGGCCGGCGGGGCGCTAGGGCCAGGCGAGGCGCAAGAGGGACCAGCGGGGCGCGAGGGCCGGGGGGGGTGTGAGGGCCGGGCGGGGCGCGAAAGGGACTAGCGGGGCGCGAGGGGCCGGCAGGGCGCTAAGGGACCAGCGGGCGCACGAGGGGTCGGCGGGGCGCTAAGGGCCGGGTGCGGCGCGAGGGGCGCTAAGGGACCAGCGGGCGCGCGAGGAGCCGGTGGGGCACTAGGGCCAAGCGGGGCGCGTAAGGGACCAGCGAGGCGAAGGACTAGCGGGGCGCGCTAACAAGGCTGGCGGGGCGCTGAGGACTAGCGGGGCGCGCTAAGGCCAGCGGGGCGCGCTAAGGGAACGGCGGGGCGCTAGGCTAGGCCGAGGGCGGAAGCGGGTGGGCGGACCTAATCTACTATGATACCATCTCAGAGTAGCTGAATAAACTAGAAAGTAGAGTACATGGTGGTTTTTACCTAAAATGTTGTACTTGCTAAGGCATGACCCTATCTAGTCTACAGCAACATATACAAATATTTTTGACACATGTATGTTGATCTGTCATCTCATTCGCGTATTTATCGACGACTGGTGTGGCAAGATGCATACTCGTTTTCAACAATATTTGTGGATATGTAAGTATTGTTTTTGTTGTGAAAATGTTACTGTACTCGATGGCCATTTCAGAAGGTGGATAACACTGTTCAAATAAAATATTGTTCGTGTGAAAATCGTTGTTCATATTAATGCCCCGAAAAGTGACATCAAATGTTAAGGTTGCTACGCAACCCAAACAAGAGGCGAGGAGGTCGTCTTAGGGTTGCGAAGTAGTAGAATATATAAAATTAAGATAGTATTTTGTTTCAATTGATTTTTTGTTGTAAGAAAAAATATTCATATATTCTGCGTGATAGTGAGTGCACATGCATGAACATATTACCTGCAAGAGATTTTGGGACTTTCAAAACCTTGCCATAAAATAGCGTCGTCGCGAGCAGATCTAACGACCTGTCAATTGAGCTACGAAACTCAAACAGTTGCGCTAACCTGGCCTGAACCAACGTAGTTATAAACATTTTGGTTTTCATTTTTTGCGACGCATCTCGCCTGTCTCTTCATCGCGAAAGGGTTTCATTCAACTGTTTCTCCCAGCAGCTTGCGCTCTCTGTTTCCTGCATAAGCTCTGACGTTCCTAAAAAAATCGAGCTTCCTTAGACTAGTTTTTTTTTCCACATTTTCTAGGCTCCTGTATTTCCTATGCCTATATCCTACGTCGACTGAGGGATGCGGCGTTCGAAATAGTCAGCTGGATTCTCTAGACAGCACACTATTCAAGCTCGATTTCTTGACCTGCAACGCCTCTCATGAACGGTCCTTCCTTTTCATTCCGTTGCATCCACACATTTATCTAACATCTCCTTTTCCGACGGATTCTCTTCCTTATTCCTTACTTTCCTCCTCATTTTGTATCCTCTCATTACTTTCTCTATGTTTCCCATTTCCTCTTATTTGTCTCCCCTGATTAGCTCAATCTCAAGCTAGAAAGAGGATAACCGAGCGGTCGCCTTCATCTACGACGCACACTACGCAATTTATCTCCCTTCCCTCACTCCCTTTCCATTCTACTATTTCCTCTCCCTCCTTTCTCTCCCTTCACTCCTTTCCATTTTCCACTTCGCCCATTTTAATCTCTTCCGTTTCAAATTCATCACCTGTTCGCCCGCTCGATACCTTTCCATTCCCTCTTATATTTCAAAACTGGTTTACTCTCTTCTTGATTCTTTGATTCTTGTTGACGCAAGGTTTCAAGTGTTTTTTACAACGCTGAACTATCCCTGGATGGCGCCAATGAAGCCATGGACCTATTGTAAAGTCATAGAGTTTTGAATCTTAACAAAACGTGGCATCTTTGTGCATCTGATTTGCAATGTTAGGAGTGACGCATGCGTTGTGAGTGGAATGGCCTCGTTCATTCATTGCATCGGTACCGATAATACATCTTTTGTTTGTCTCAAAAAGTGGTTTTGTGCCTTTCATTTCATGTAAGGTTCTTGGACACTCTCTTTGAGTGCAGTCACTTGAATTGGAAGTGTTAAGTGCAATCCATTTTTGGAGCTCACAAAATTGTGTTGCTTCATTCGTGCAAAAAGCTGTCTACTTCTCCCACATAGCTGGGGAAGCGATAACTTATTTTTGCCATTGACAAAAATACGCACGCCAAATGATGGAAACAAAAACACATTGTTTTTCACTTTCCATTACGATTACTAACTGTACGAAGAGTGCAATTGAACGGTTACAATATGTAGTGCATCTTTCCGCAACATTAACTAGGTTTAGAAGCATAGAAGTAATTTTGGAAACTCGAAAAGTGAAACAATAATTTATTTCATGTTTTTTTTTTCTCAATTCCTTCATTCTTTCACATTTTTTTGCCCCAGAACTTGAAAAAAAATCTAGGTCCAATTGATCATGTTATGAATTAGTCAGTGTAATAATAGGTAGTGTAATAAATGAGTCGTGATTCAAGAGTGTTGATACAAATGAGGGCCTGGGCATTTATAGGCACGAACAGAGCTAGCTGAGAATCACGCGAAAAGGTTGGGGCGGTCCGGCTGGCGAAAGCCACGGAAGCGTCGCGCGTCTAGGTTTGGGTTCACGAAATGGTTCAGGACCGAAGAAGTTGGCCGAGCCTGGACTTCCGGGAGTCAAGGGCGTACGCGCTGTAGTCGAGCCCAGTAAGGAAAAGGGGATTTCCTTACACCACCCCCCCCTTCGAGGATGAGACTACCTACATCTAGGACACGTGGTCGGTCGTGCGATCGACCCATCGTACAAGGAAATCAACGGCTGCTGTATCTCGATGGCCTCGTACGCGATGAGCAAGAATCTTGGATGGTTCGATCGTTGGCTCGGGTACTGGGTTGACCGTAGGATAGATATGTTGACGGTCGAGATTAGTCGCACTCGGGACGAACGGTCGCAGCAGACTGACATGAAATGAATCATGAATTCGCTAGTCGGCCGGCAGTTACAGTTGGGCGGTTACTGGTGTCACCATGCGGATGATGCATAATGGGCCGCAAAATCTTGGTCGTAGCTTATTTGGGAGGGGAATTCCCAAATTTCTGGTGTCGAGCAGGACCAATTGCCCAGGGGCGAGCGTTAAGTCTTGGCGTCGTCGGTCAGCTTGCTGCTTAGCCCGTTGGTTGGCTTTGAGGATGGCATCGGCGGCTTTTTTTTTAGACTGTCGGAGATTTTCGACAAACTGCTGAGATCTTGGTGCCGAGCTTTCTATCGGTGGCGATAGAGGGGTTGTCGGGTCTATCCCGTAATTAAGGAAGAACGGGGACTGAGTAGTCGTGGCCGATGGGGCATTGTTGTACGCAAACTCGATCAATGGAAGGGCGTCCTCCCATTGGGCTGGGTTTGTGCGTGTCGTGCGAATCACCTGCTCCATTGTCTGATTGGTGCGCTCAGTCTGGCTGTCCGATTGCGGGTGGTACGCCGTGGACAGATGCAGACGTGTGCCGTACTGCTGCCAGGTTTTTGTCCAGAAGTTGGACGTCAACTGTGGGTCAAGATCGCTGATGATTGCCAAGGGGATGCCGTGTAGCCGCACGATGTTCATGAGGAACAGTTTTGCTATCTGCTCGGCAGTAATTGTCGTCTTGCAGGCGGCGAAGTGAGCCATCTTGGTCAACCGGTCAACGACGACGAGAATCACGTCGTTGCCGCTTGGACCAGCTGGCAGGCCAGTGACGGAATCAATCGTCACTTGTTGCCAAGGTCGGCTGGGTGGCTTGAGTGGCTGCAGCAATCCCGCAGGTCGAAGCCGGGACGACTTCATGCGTTGACACGTGGCACACGAGGTGATGTACAGCTGTACATCTGTCGGCAAATCGGTCCAGTAATCATTACGGCTCAGTAATTTGGTGGTTTTTTTCGATGCCGTAGTGACCCAAGAAATTCGAGTCATGTGCCTCCTGGATCAGTAATTCTCGTAGGGTACGGTAGGCGGGAACCCAAATCTGATTGGTACCGGATTTTAGGTAATAGGCCCCTTGCTTGACCGTCAGTTGGGGATGACTGTTAGTGGTGAAGAATGGGTCAGTACTGTACCCCTGGGTGAATAGGCCAGTTTGCAGCAGATTAGCTTGGGTAATTAGGACTGCAGCGATGTGGACTGAAGGGCGGGTCAGTGCGCCGGCGATGTTGCTAACCCCCCGTTTGTAGGTGACTCTGTAGTGGAAGTTGGACTCGAGGTAATCAAGCCAGCGAATCTGTCGGGGATTCAGTGTTGGTTGGGCGCGGATGAACTGTAGCGACTTGTGATCTGTTCGGACTATCACGTCAGCGCCCGTCTGGTAGCAGCGCCAGACTTTGAAAGTGTGAACGATGGCGAGTAACTCCTTGTCGTGGACAGGATAATTTTGCTCGGCCAGGTTCAGCTTTCGTAACTCGTAGGCGATAGGTTGTAGGCCTTCGCCGAAGTCTTGTAACAGGACTGCGCCAACGGCCAAATCGTTAGCGTCGGTGATGAGCTCGAACGGATGGTGAGGTTCTGCAATCCGAACAACCGGAGGTGTAGTCAGGAAAAGTTTGAGCTGTTCGAACGCAGCCTACTGCTCTCCCACCCACTCATAAAATTTGCCCTTCTTCAGGAGATCCATGTTCGGAATGAAACGGCGGACGTAATTGACAAACCCCAGAAAACTCTGAAGTTCGCGGAGATTAGCCGGCGGCTTCCAGTCTTGTATCGTCACAATTTTCTTGAGGTAAATTTTAACTCCGTCGATGGAAATGACGTGTCCCAAAAACTCCTGTCCGTGTTTGAGAAACTCGCACTTAGAGCCCTTGGTGATGAGTCGGTGCTGCTGCAAGAGAGAGAAAACCGCTTCCAAATCCTTCAAATGCTGCTCCCGGGTAGTGCTGTAGACCAGTATGTCGTCGAGGTACACGATGACGCATTTATCCAGCAGCGGCCGAAAGACCTCGTTCATGGTTTACTGGAACGTCGAAGGTGCATTTGTTAAGCCAAAAGGCATAAACGTGTACTCGTAACTCCCCTACCGGATACGAAACGCCGTCTTGTAGCAATCAGTTTCGTTCACGCGGATCTAGTGGTACTCGCCTTACAGGTCAATTTTCGAGAAGAATTTGGCTCCACAAAGTTGGTCGATGAGTTTGTCGGCACGCGGGATAGGATAGCAGACTTGATGGTAACCCGATTCAAGGTGCGGTAGTCAATACACATGCGTAGACCGCCATATTTCTTCGAGCTGAACAGAATCGGAGCTGCAAACGGGGTTGTGCTGGGGTGAACGAAACCTTTCTCGAGCAGGTAGTCCAGCTGGCTTCGAAGTTCATCCAGCTCAGGCTGAGTCAGCCGCCATTGAGTCCGAAAAGTAGGGTGCGCGCCGGGCTCCAGCTCGATTTTGTGGTCATGGTCTCGCTCAGGTGGAACATGCTAAAATTAACAACATGCTGCGACATGCTACTGGCGATCTCCATTTCCCGACTGCTTCTTGTCGTTATGTAAGTTCTTCTTCAGCTGCGGGCAGTCCCGCACCATGTGGCCCGGCTAGTTGCAGTGGAAGCAGGTTCCCAAAAATACTCGTGCTGCAAACACATCCACGCCGTTGATTGATGTGTGTTGGGGCTGGTCTCGAAAGCGATTTCCCTCTCGGAAACCCGCTCTCGCGAGTCCACGTCGTGCGTCCAGCGCGTCCGCTATGCGAACTATTTCGTTGAATGTCGCCAGGGCTCGCAGGATGATCTCTTGCTAAATCTCCGGCTTGAGACCACCCACGTACAGTAGCGATCGATGCGTTCGTCTTCGCTAAGCCCTCCGATCTGGTCGCAGATTGCCAGAAACGATGCCGTGTATTCTTGGACAGAGCCCAACTGTCACCACATCCGAAGCTTTGTACGAGCACTTTCGCGCATGGATATGTGCTCAAATCTGCCCTTCAACGCTTCGCCCTACGCTTTCTACGTGCAGATCGTAGCCGACCCAAAGATCGGTTCTGCCTTCGCCGTGGATGAACTCAGCTCCCCATCTACCGCCTATTGATTCCCTGCCGAGGCTCCTCCCTCGTCAACATGCATGCGCCACCAGTCAAGTGTCGGTCCCCTCAGCAGCGACACAGCCAAGTTGACACGTAATGCGTTGACATTGATACTTGCTGCTGTGAAGAAAGTTTCCATGGCGAACAGCCACCCACTCACTGTTGTTGTCCTGTCGGTCGGGTTGAACGGTGGAGGCATCGGTGGTTTGATTTTAATGGCCACCCGCGGCTCGCTGTGGACTTCTTCAACTGCTTCAGGTGTCGCCTACGCCCTCGCTTCGCTCGTAGCATCTTCGTCTCGGGCAACAGGCCGCCCCTGACGCGTTTCACCCCGTGTCTGGCGAAGCGACGAGTTTTCGTTGCGCAGCGTCTGCACTTCGCTTCTCAGCGACTCGAACTTATCGGCGAGTTGTTGAAGCTGGGTCTGCAGTGTCGTCACTGTAGCCGCCCTGGCTTGCAACTCGTCAAACTCTTCCTGAGTCATGTTCCTAGCACTACGACGGGCAGAGGTTTCCGGCGTGGCAGACATGCTGGAAATTTTACCTGACAGATCTTAGGGTTCACACGCTTTTAGTTGGAGGAGCTTTAACGAGCTCGCCTACCAACCGTTGTCAAACCCCCTAATCTGTCGGGTCCTCTCCCAATATGAACGGACTACTCTACGGAAGACTAAGCGGGCAGGAACGGGGCTCTGATACCAGCTGTTATGAATTAATCAGAGTAATAACAGATAGTGTAATAAAGGAGTCGTGATTCAAGAGTGTCGATACAAATGAGGGCCTACGCATTTATAGGCACGAACAGAGTTAGCCGAGAACCACGCGAACAGGTTGAGGCAGTCCGGTTGGCGAAAGCCACGGAAGCGCCGCGCGTCTAGGTTTGGGTTCACGAAATGGTTCGGGACCGAAGAAGTTGGCCGAGCCTGGACTTCCGGGAGTCGAGGGCGTACGCGCTGTAGTCGAGCCCAGTAAGGAAAAGGGAATTTCCTTACAGATCGCAATAGGTTGCTCCGCAGCCCAAAAAGTGAAGCGAGCTTCACAAATCGGAGCATTTATGGATGAATGAATTTTCAATACTATATATATTTAGCACTCCGCGTAGTCCCCCGTGTAAACTGGCAATTCTATATCATTTCCCTTAGCTTCATTTACCCCCTCCTATGTCACTTGTGCACATCTCTCGTCCCGTTCAGCCCCCCGTTGCTCTCGCCTCGCGGCCATGGGCTCCGCCTCGCGCAACTACTTTGCCGCGCTCTCCTCGCCGGACGCAGATGCCCACGACGCCACCCCGCCAGCCTCGCCGTCGCGTGAGACCGCCGCGGGCCGTCGCGATGCCGCAGCCGCCCCAGTCGGTGGGGGGACGCTGCCCGCCGTGTCTCGCAGCGCCGCCCCTCGCGTGCTCGCGGGGGGCTCGTCGCCCGGCCGCGGGAAGCACGGCGGGGACTCGAGGCAAGATGGCGGCGGCTGGCGGCTGGTGGGCGACGCGAGTGGCGCGCGGAGCCGGGGGGGCGAAGCAGTGACGACGGCGGAGGTGGGAAGCTTGGCGGCGGTGCGGGCAGCGGCGAGCGAGGCGAGGGCGGAGCAGGCGGCGGAGGCGGCAGGGGCGGTGGAGGTGAAGCTGAGGCGACCGCTGATATGGGTGGACCTGGAAATGACCGGTGGGGGGGAGGGAGGGAGGGGGGGAGGGAGGGAGGGGGGAGGGAGGGAGGGAGGGAGGGAGGGGGGGAGGGGGAGGGGAGAGGGAGGGGGGGAGGGAGGGGAGGGAGGGAGGGAGGGAGGGGGGGAGGGGGGGAGGGGGGGAGTGGGGGAGTGGGGGAGTGGGGGAAAGGGGGGGGAGGGGGGGAGAGGAGGCGGGGGGAGGGGGGGGAGAAGGGGAGGGAGGGAGGGAGGGAGGGAGGGGAGGAGTGGGTGGGGGGAGAGGGAGGGAGGGAGGGAGGGAGGGAGGGAGGGAAGGGGGGAGGGAGGGAGGGAGGGAGGGGGAGGACTTCTGTCACATGCTTGGATGTGTCACCACCTCTGTAGCTTGTACCCAAGTTTATCTAATGGCCAGGACCACTTGAGAAGGAGAGGTAGAGAGGGAGGTGTGAGACGAGAGGAGTTGAGAATGAGAGAAGACGATGGTCGGTGTGGCATGCTCACCTTTCCACCCCACTCTCACCCCTCACGGGTGTGTATCTCTCTTCCCCCCCTTCCCCTCCGAGCAGGCTTGGACGTGGAACAGCACCACATCCTGGAGATCGCGTGCGTGGTCACGGATGGCAACCTCACACAGCGATTCGAGGTGCACGCACCAGGGCCAGGGGGGACGGCCACATGGGGTTCACACGGGCATGGCATGGCGTGGCTTAGAAGTTGTTGCTGTCTCTGAACTTTCTCTCCTCCAATCTGCTCTCTGCTCTTGCCGCTCATTCCACTTCGTCTTCCCCTCACAGCTTCCCCTACCACCTGTGTCTCTCCCCCCCCCCCATCGGCTCCTCTTGTGGCCCCCTGGTGCGTGCGCGCGGGGGCGGCATGGCAGGGCCCGGACCTGGCAATCCACCAGAGCGAGGAGGTGATAGAGGGCATGAACGACTGGTGCCAGCAGCACCACCACGCCAGCGGTGAGAGGGGGGGAGAGGAGGCCTTCGGTGCATGGGGGGGAGTGCAGAGCGGTGGCGGGTGAGAGCGTGGTGCAGCCGTGGTAGTGTGCATGGACGAGGGTCCGAGCTCGGTGACGCTGAGGTGCGGGATGTCACTGGATTCCAGAAAATTGTCAAGGGCGGCAGCTTGTGATGGTGGTCGCTGCCACCGCCTGCAGCTATCTTTTGGAATCCCTTTCCAGAGCTACTTGTCATCCATAGGCCCGTTGCCCTCCCTCGTGTGTATGGCAGGGCTGGTGGAGCGAGTGCGCAGCAGCACAGTCACCATGGCAGACGCCGAGGAGCAGGTCAGGGCTGTGTGCCGTGCTGTGCTGTGCTCTGCCTTGCGTGCTGTTTTTTTCACTTTCACACCACCGCATCTCAGAGCTATGCCGATCCTGCTGCCTCTCCTTGTCTCTCCCTCCGTCGCTCTCTTTCCCCTCTACCCTCGTGTCCCTAATGTAATGTTGTCAGCACGTACAAATGCCTCTTCGTCATCCTCCCATGGCACCCTGTGCTGTGCCCCCTGTCCCATGCCCCCTGTCCCATGCCCCCTGTCCCATGCCCCCTGTCTGTCCCATGCCCCCTGTCTCATGCCCCCTGTCTGTCTCGTGCCCCCTGTCTGTCCCATGCCCCCTGTCTTTCCCGTGCCCCCTGCGCCGTGCCGCCTGTGCCGTGCCGCCTGTGCCGTGCCCCGTGTGCCGTGGCCTCAGGTGCTGGCGTTTGTGCGGCGGTACTCGGTGCCGCACCTTGCATCGCTGGCAGGCAACTCCATCTACATGGACCTCATGTTCCTGCAGGTGACGGGCGTGCATGCAAGTGACGGGCATGCATGCAAGTGACGGACGTGCATGCAAGTGACGGGCATGCATGCAAGTGACAGGCATGTGTTGAAACGAGCATCAAGGATTCTCCATACTTGTGTTGCTATATATGCCCGTCGCTGCTCTTCAAATTCAGGTGTCAATGCGCACTCTCTCCGCTTGTACTACTGCCACTGCGCTCATACTCCACACTTCCCCGTGTGCCTGTTGCTCTCCGCATGCCATTGTCACCCTGCATTGCCCATTCGTGCTGGGTGTGCCTAACCCTCCTCCCACTGCTCGCCACGTGCCCCACCCCCCTCCCCCTCTCCCCCCCACAGAAGCACATGCCTCGCCTGGCCGCGCACTTCTCCCATGTGCTGGTGGATGTCAGCTCCGTCAGAGCCCTCGCCCAGCGCTGGTTCCCCAGAGGTACCCTCCACTTCCCCCGCCCGCTCTGCCCTCTCTGCTCCCTGCCTATGTGTGCCACAGTTGAGGCTGACGCCCTCGCATGGCACGCCACGCTTGCATTGTCCTCACCGTTCCTCTTGGTTCACCGCTGCCCTTGTCTCCAGCTCACCGCGTGTCTCCCCACCCCCGCCTTGCTGGGTGCTGTGCGTGTGCATGGGTGTCAGCGGCTGAGAGTGCCCCGCGCAAGGAGCAGCGGCACCGGGCGCTGGAGGACATAAACGAGACCATCAACGAGCTCAAGCACTTCAGAGCCACCATCTTTAGGCCCTCCAAGCATGCTTCATAACTCTTCACCACCAGTGGCAGACTGGTACGAACAGGCCAGGGCAAAACATTGGTTTTAGGCCACTCGTAGGAATCAGAGTACGTGAAAATGTTCACCCTGTCAGCCAGAGTGTTGCAAATGATGATGATCATGTTAACGTAGAAACGAATGATTACTAGAGGTGGAAACCTAGAACAAATACTAGTTGGTTGTACTCACTAGAAGCATACCTCAGTCTAGCCTATAACTTCTACATAGATAATATGTATAAGTTGACACACCCCCTAGGCTAGACAAGGGGTGAAACTAAACAAGAAGCAAACAGCTCAGGGCGGCACTACTAGTCCAACCACTGAGGCAGGGGTCTGGAGACCAGTCAGCAAGAATACAACCAAAACTGAAGCAAGCCAGGGTGGCACTACTAGTCCAGCCACTGGAGGTAAGGCCACAAGGCCAGTCTGACAAGCATATATAATAGAGAGTACACAATCAGGATCCTAACAGGGGAGCAGCTACAGGAACAAGACCAAGCTGTACACAGTGCCGCTGATGATCTTTAGGCGCAAGCGCCTTAGTAAAGATATCAGCTGTGTTGGCACCTGAGGCCAAGTGAACTACGCGGGCCTGGCGGCGCTGCTGTAGCTCGCGCAGGAGGAAGTACCGCAGCTGGATATGCTTCGCTCTGCCCTCAAGCCGAGGCTCCTGACACAGGAGTATCATGGCCCTGTTGTCAGCGTACAGGACCGGGGCAGAGCTAGGCCGCTCACCTAAGTCTATGAGCAAGAAGGTCAGCCAGCGGAGCTCCTGTGCCGCCATGGCACCAGCGTAGATCTCAGCCTCACAGCTAGACTGAGCCACAGACGACGAGCGAGTGGATCTCCAAGAGATAGCACCCGAACCAAGGCTGAAACAGTAGCCCTGCGACGACCTGAGCGTCTCAGCGTCGTCTGCCCAAGAAGCGTCTGTGTGCCCAGTAAGGACCACTGGCCTGCGTCCTCCTAGCACTAACCCCATGCTTGATGTACTAGCAAGATAACGCAAAACCCTCTTAGCGGCAGACCAGTGCTGAGGTCGGTGTCTGCCTGTAGCCACAAAGCGAGCCAGGATGCTGAGAGGGTATGCGAGATCTGGGCGAGTGCAAGTCATCAGGTACATGAGGCAACCCACCAGCTCTGCGTAGGGGCCACTGGGCTCTACTGGCTCCTCAGGAACGGGAGCAGAGAGCCCATGGTCTACGGGTAGAGGTGTGGGCTGTGCAGAGGAGAACTGAAGACCGAACCTCTGAAGGACCTGACGCACCAAGTGTGACTGGGTCAGAGTGATGGTGCGTGCTGCTCTGTCCCTAGAGATCTGCAGGCCAAGATAGCGACGCAGCTCTCCAAGGTCAGTGCAGGTGTGTCTCTTCAGCAGCTCAGCCTTCACAGAGGCCAGTGCGTCCCTGTCAGGAGTAGCGAAGACCAGGTCGTCTACGTAGACAAGGATGTAGAACGGAGTCTGGCCGGAACGCACAAACAGTGAAGGGTCAGCAGAGGACGGAAAGAACTGCAGGTCTGCTAACGTGGCACGTAGCGTGTCGTGCCACTCGCGGGGAGCCTGACGCAGGCCGTAGACTGGGCGCCTGAGAAGCCACTGGGTCCCAGGAGGGAAGGTACCAGTGAAGCCCTGTGGTCGGCGCAGGTAGACCTGCTCGTGTAGGCTGCCCTGAAGAAAGGCAGTAGAGAAGTCGAGGGAGTGAAGCTCGTAGTCACGCTGTGCTGCTACGTGTAGCAGCGCCCGAAGAGTGGTCATCTTCGGGGTCGGGGCGAAGGTCTGGAAGAAGTCCACCCCCTCGCGCTGACTGAAACCTCTGGCCACGTAGCGCGCCTTGAAGACAGGCGGCTCTCCAGGGGGGCGCTTCACCTTGAAGAGCCACCGACCATCGACTACGTTCACCCCAGGCGGGGGAACTGCGTCGACGTAAGTGCCGGTGGATCTCCAAGATGCCATCTCCTGCTCCATGGCAGCTATCCACTGAGAGGCCCAAGGTCCCGAGGTGGCCTCAGCGTAGGTGCGCAGGGTCGGGATGTCGAAGGCGTCTGGGTCACCCTCAGGGACTAACAGCATGGAGCAGAGATGGGGAGCAGCCTCGGAAAGGAAAGCCAGCTCGTACTGCCTGTCCTCTAGGACGTCACTGCCAAGGGCAGGAGCACCCCCGACGGACGGAGGACGGGCAGGGTCAGAGACCAGAGCGGTAGCGTAGTCAAGGCGGCGGGTAGAAGCGAAGTCAGCGACAGCAGCGACAAGCGCGTCAAGGCGCGAGACAGGAACAGTAGGGTCGGTAACAAGAGAGGCAAGGACCCGAGGGACAAGGGACGAGCAGAACGGAGGTAGTCAGAGAACGGAGGAGGTGCAACAGCAAGGGACGAGGGAGGAGGGGACGGGAGGAGGGGAGGACGAGACGAGTGGGAACGGAGCAACATAGGGTGGGTGGGCAGGACAGGAGAGACGGGACGAGCACGGGAGGGACGGCGAGCCCAAACGTGAGACGGAGGGGTAGGGTCAGGGGACAGCGGAGGAGACACAGGAGGGGAACGAGGAGGAAGACGGGCCGGAGACGAGTCTGGCGGCGGGAACACAGGACCGTAGACAGGAAGGTCAGGAGGCGGTGGGGGAGACACCGGCGCGCGGTCCGGGGAGGGAAGGCCGAGCAGGCGGAGAGCGGAAACCGGCGGCGACGGCTGCTGCGGCGGCAACGACGGCTGGGCCGGAACTCTCGGACCAGCAGAGGCAGAACGACCGTCGGCAGAACACTCAACAGCAGCACCCCCAGAACCAACACCCCCAGAGCGAGAACCCCCTCCAACACCAGCGGCACCCCCAGAAGCCGCAGGACGAACACCTTCCTCCACACCAGCACCCCCAGGGGCGAGAGCAGCGGCGGCAGTGGCGGCAACGGCTGCGGCGGCGGCGACAGCGGCGACGGCTGCGCAGCGACAGCGGCGCGGCGGCGACGGCTGCGGCGGCGACGGCGACGGCGGCGGCAGCGGGGGTCGGCGACTGCGACAGTGGGGGCGGAGGCACCGGGGAAGGGGGACGCGGCAAGGACGGACCGGGGTACCACCAGAGTCAGCAGACTCCTCAACGGGGACAACTGACGGGAGGGGAGTGACGTGGGAGACACCAGACGGGCAGGACGAGGCGGGGAGAGGGGCAGGGCTACCGGGGGAGAGGGAGCAAGGAAAAGGGGGGGGCAACTGGGAGACCTCGGTGAGGGAAGCGGCGGTAGAAGGAGACGGACTCGTCAAAGGTGACGTCACGAGAGTGGAGGAAGCGGTGAGACGGCGGGTGGTAGAAAAGCCAGTCAGACGAGTCCAGGGGGAAACCGAGGAAGACACAGGGGACAGTGCGGGCAGTGAGCTTGTCCGTGCCAGAGGCACGAACGTGAGCAAGGCAGCCCCAGACGTGGAACGCAGACGCGTCACCGGGGGACCCGGTCCAAAGGAGGGTCGGCGAAACCTGCGGCCGCTGGGAGCGTGGCCACAGGTTAAGCTGGTGAGCCGCGTAGCGAACAGCGAACGGCCACAGAAAATGGGGGGCATCGGCATGGATCATGGAGGTACGGGCGACCTCCATGACCAAGCCGATGCGGCGCTCAGCAACCCCATTCTGCTGTGGCGAGTCCGGCAACGTGTACGACTGGGTGATGCCCTCCGCACGACAGAACTGTCCAAGCCGACCAGAGGCGAACTCGCCGCCACGGTCGGAGTGGAGACACAACACGGGGGAGACCGCGGTGGAGACGCGCAGCCACAACCCACGGGAGAAGAACGTCGGGCACGTCGGCCTTCCGCTCCAGGGAAACACCGTGGTGTAGCGCGTGTAGTCGTCGACGAGCACAAGGAAGTAGCGCTCACCGCGCGGTCCGGGACGGGGGCAGGGCCCCAAACGTCCAAGTGCAGGGTCTGAAGGGGGGCAGTAGCAGGACGCAGCGAGGAGGAGTGAGGAGCACGGCGGAGCCGACCCTCGACGCAAGGCGTGCACGGTGGCGCAGTCGAGGGAGGAAGGGCAGGGAGCGACGCGGGAGACCTAAGACAAGACCGTGCTGGGACATGTGACGCAGACGCGGGAGAGCAGGGTGACCTAAGCGGTGGTGCCAGAGAAGGGAGGGGTGAGTGAGGGACCGACACGAGCAAGCTGCAGCGACCTGGGAGGACGCACCAACCGGGGGGGAAGCGGTGTGTAGGGTAAACAGACCAGACACCGGGTCCCGGGGGAACGTCGAAGGGGGGAACCTGAGACAGCCTCAGAACAGACAGCGAACCGCTCGTGCCCGGGGAACGTGGGTGGTGACGCCGAGGTCCTGGAGACAGCCGACACCACCAGGTTCCTGGAGAACGAGGGAACGTGGAGGCCAGTAAGGGAGGCCCGAGGGAACTGCCGGACAAGGAAGGGACGTAGAACTGCGCGCGACGACCGGACCCGCAGAGGGTCAGCGAGAGAGACAACAGCAGGTGCAGCAAGCGGCGTGAGCGTGGAACGGTCGCGGAAGAAGCAGGCAGAAGCACCAGAGTCGAGAGTGAAGGACAGCGACGCAGTGGCGGAGCCGGGGACGGAGCCGGTGCAGCGACTAGACTAGGCAACCTAGGCAGTCCTACGCCTGTCGCAGCAGGGGAAGCTAAGCTACACAAGGGTGAAACACCTAAACTAGAGTACACAGGGTAGTAAGATACAGCAACACTAGAAGCGTCAGCATACAAAGCATGCAAAGCAGCACCTATCTGATCCATGTCTAACTCAAAGATCGGCACGCCCTGGCGGAGTAGGCTGTGCCAGTCAGGGAGGTCCGGGCCGGGCCAAAGCGACGACGAAAAAGATCGTCGAGGCGGCGGAAACAGCGGGCGGTCGGGTGCGGGCGTCGGCACAGAGTGCCGCGGAGAGGCCCGGTCTGAAGCTGGTACTGGCAGGTCACAGCACTGGAGCCGCTGGTAGACGCCAAGCTGCGCGGGCCGCCACCACGGCCACCGCCTCCGGAGGTGCCGGGCCAACCAGCGGGAGACGAGCCCACGGCTGCGGCGGGTGCTGCTGGGACGGCGGCTGCGGCTGGGGCTGGTCCTGCTGCTGCTGGGGCTGCTGCTCCTGCCCACCGTGGTAGTCCCCTCAGGCGGACTACCGTCACCACCACCACGACCACTACCACCTGCGTCACCACCCCTACCTCCCTGGCGGCCACGACC